TGCTTACGGTGTATAATCCAGTTTTGGCTCGACACTATAATTGCTCATTTTGATCCCACCCACATTGTCTATAGGGATGTAAATTGAAAAGATAATTAATCTTGCTGGTTTTAAATGTAATTTATCTTTTAACTGAGTTATAAGAGAACAGCCAGGGTCGAGTGTACACTCATGAGGACATCTAATCAAGCAGATTTTCCTTTTAGAGCATCGCTCGCTGTGATGGAGTTATTTACCTTGATCTGTACATGGCTTTCATCTTTTTATCTTTTAAACTTTCATTTTGTGAAATTACTTTTGATCATTGTCTGTTAATATATTTATAATTTCTTATGGTGTATGAATCTTTATTTCTTGGTCTAAAAATGTGAACTTTTGAGTTAATTTGGATGATTCAAGAGTGTTTATATTTACCTTTGTCAGTGACTAAGCTTTTGAATTAAATAATATACTATCATATTATTGTTATTATTAAGCAGTATTATTATTTTCATACCACTTATTTAACAAAATGCAGGACAACTGAATTATAAAAAAATACAAAGCTTTTTCTTTATTAGTTTATTTTCATCAAATTCATATGTTCTTATTTTTCTAATGGCTCACATTTACGTCCAGCTCTGGATGTTGGCAGATGATGGTAGAATGAGCTGAGTGTTTTGAAATTAGGCATTTAAAGTGGAAAACAGCAAATTTGGTCTGGAGCCACTCAGCTGATTTGAGGCCAGAAACTGTTCATTTGTGCATCTAATAAAAAAAAACAACACTTGTCTAAAGTCCAATCATTTGATCCAATCATTTTATTTGAAATTAGAAGCTAAACTAAACAACACATACATTTTACCACAAGGATTTCTTTATAACTTAATGTTGTAATCAAATGTTAAACTGAACCCATCGAGTCCCTTTAGTCTTTCTCTGGATCTTTGTGTGTTTTCAGGCTCAGGCTGAGCTAAAGGTCCTAGAAACGGCACATAATCTCTCTGCCTGCCATTTATCTTCAAAGAGATTTATTTTAAAAGTAGGGCCCTGCGACAGCCTGGCATCCCGTAGAGTAGGTGTATGTGAACAACATGATGCCACTCTGTGACACTCAGCATGCAAGCAGAAAGATGCTGCACTGATAGCTACCTTCGCTCTTTCCTTTTGTAAGACTGAAAGATGAAAAGTGCTTTAATAAAAAGCCTTAGAATTGATTGATTTTGCTTTGGATATGCAAAATCTCACTGTTACACAAAAGTTCAGACTTTATATTGGGTGCAATGCTTCAGTGATTTAATAAAAAATCCAATGTTCAGTAATAAATGACCACCAGCAAAAGTATTGATACCAGTAACAATCCCTTAAATTAAGTATTTTTAAAACATTTCA